AGGAATAGGAACCTAAGGATAGCCTATCTTATTCTCTCTAATAAAACATATATTTTATCTATAAACTATTGTCTGCTCAAACTGCCACAGACAAAAGAGTATAGTTTCTAGTTGTAGTAGAAATTATACTTACTTGTTGGACACCGCTATAAACTTGTGAAGAATCCCTGTAGCCATATCATTGTTATAGTACTGCTATTAAGAAGGCCATGATACTGTAACAATAGTATTTTTTGTTTAAAAAATAACAGTATTATTAAAATTTTTCTTTATATAATATTTAATTTTATTACAAGTTGTTGCAGTTGTTAAATAATAAAGATAAAAAATATAAACAATAACAATAAAAAAAAGAAACTGATATATTATTATAAAATGCCAGCAAAAAATTTTAATTAAAAATAATCTATAAAAACAAGTCTTTTTTATAAAATAAAATTGCTAAGCCAATTTTTTATTTTATAATATATATTTGAAAATATTTTTTAAAATGCCAAAAGTATTAAATTATTATAAATTATTAGGAATAAAAACTACATCAACTCTTAATGATATAAAAAAAGTATATTGAAAATTAGTTTTATTATATCATCCTGACAAGAATATAAACAAATCTTTATCAGAGCATGTTGAAGCAGAACAAAAATTTAAATCAATCCAAGAGGCTTATGAATATTTAACTGTTAATCACAAAGAACCAAAAGCCAGAAAACAAAAGACAACAACTCCAAAGAAAAAGACTTCAAAGAAAAAAGATGCATCGAAACCAAAAAAGACAACTAATAATAAAAAATCTAAAGTTACCAAAAAATTAAAAAAAATATTTAAAGATACTATAGATCAAAACATCGATAAATATATTAACACTTTATTGGCAAATATGTTAAAATAAATTTTTTAATTTGTTTTTATTAGGTATATTATAATTAGCAACTACTTGATAGTATTTACATTTATTACATTTAAAATACCAATAACTTGTATCTTTCGAGTTAAATAATCGATATTATCATTTATACAATAACAAACTTCTGAAAAATCATATTTTTAACTTATTTTAAAATATTAAAAATATTTAAATTTAATAAATAAATCTAAGAATAGTTCATTTGATATGTGTTGATTTAAAATAATACTATTTAATAAAATAATTTTTCAAAATGTAAAGTCTTTTGTTGTTGCGATAAATTTACTAATTTTATAAAAAAATCCTCTTTCAATATAAAGTTGGATATATTTTAAAGCAAGATCGTTTAATTGTTTTTTGATTTTAATACCAGTATATTCAGAAAAAATTTTTAATAAAGATATTTTTAAAAGTTGTTTAAAATATCAATTAATATCACAGATTATAATTTAAAATGAAATCTATATTTTCTATTCAATTTTCTAACCTTCTAAAACCCACTTATACTAGTTTAATATATTTTACTCTAAGCATAACCTCTAATTCTAACCCCTAACCCTAAAAAATGCATCTCAAAAAAAAATTATTTTTCGAGATTTTATATTATTATTTCATTTTAATCTGGATTTCATTTTAATCTGCCACAATTAATTAAACAAAATTTATCAAAAATATTTTTTTGATGCCATTTGTATTATAAATATTAATATTATAAAAAGCTGAAATACAAATATGTTCAATAGTAATTAGCACCAATTCATTGAGAAGAGATTTTACTAATTCTTTAGAAAGATATTTTATTTTTTATATTTATAAAATAAAAAAAAACAAAATTTTATAAAAATATTTTATAATTTTTTAATTAGACGTATGTATTTTATTTTTTTATATTTATACTTAATTTGGTATTTACTTTTGTAGTAATTCTTTAATTGGTTTAGATCAATAAGTATTTGTTTATCAAATGAATTAATTTTTATATATATATACTTTTTAAGGTATTTCCAAAATTGAACAAAATAATTTTAAAAAGATGTTCATGAGAGATGAAAAAAAACTTAGATTTTTTTTGACTTGTAGAAATTTGCTATAAAAAGCCTCAAAAAAATACCAAGTTCACCATCAAATTAGTTTTGATTTGATAGCGAGTATAAAACTCTTTGAGTAAGTTACTCATTTAAGAAACAAAAAAATTGTTTCTTAAAAGATAGAGCAAGATGTGATAATACATGTCGGGGATGATGCTGAAATCGGATGATGCTGAAATTTAGGGGCCTTAATTTGAAAATATAAATCCTACTAAAAT